CCGGTCAATTGAGCGAACTAGGTGAGGGAGGATGGCCTCCACGACCGCTAAGCCGGCGATTGAGGTCTAGGTCCTCCGCCACTTTTCGGTTGAGGGCGGCGCGGCCAGCTGGCCTGATCCGCATTACTTCCTGGGTATCGAGGCTTTCCTCTTTGCCACTCATGGTGGCACGATATCAGTGCACTTCCGCTAGCACTTCTACCTGAGTTTCTAAAGGGGATAGCCCGCGAGAAGTGTGTCCGCCGTACACCCCCGAAACCGCTATGGCCCTTGTCGACCTTTCAAGAAGGGCTTGAGTTATGCGGTGAGAGCTTCCACCCTGATAGGTGAGCCATACAGAGCCATACTCTCTGTTATTCCGGAATGCAGGCGAACGCAGATGGAGCCCGGTTCGCTCAATGTCGGCAAAATGCGCCCTGAAGGTCATCTAATCCACCATCCAGTACAAGACCCAGGTATTTCATTTGAGCCTTAACTGGGACCGTCGCCCCGGACGAGGTGATTCTTGCCGCGGATGACTGCGTTATCAATGACAAACGTCATTTGATTTTGTTTGCGCGGTGATATTATATATTTCAGGTTCCTCCTTAAGTATTATAAGTATAATATCATTAGGTTCCTCGTAAATGCATTTTGTATAGTTTCAGTTGATGAGGCTGTCTGCTGAAGAGCCAGTCAACTCATTCTTTTCCTAAATTATTGCAAGCATCAGTGATCAGCAGAGGTTTGATACGATTACACTCTTATAAATATAATCTGACATTTTCCTGACCACATTTTATTATTAAATTAGAAATTTTAAGTTCAATACAGGTGGAGATCCAGCCTTCACATTAGGAGATTGCCAGCCATTTCATATCAACTCACAGATAACTTCGAAATCAAACACTTCGAAATTCACAAAATATTTCTAATGCGGGCCGCTTTCCTGAACGCAATCACACAAACATTAACCACTATATATCGTCGGTCAGAGATGCTATCCCAGGAACCTCCGTGCCACACTCCTTTCGATTCTAACGATCCAACAAATAAAATAGAAATACTCTTCCAGAACATACAAAGCATTAACAACAAATTAGAAATACTTGAATCGTTTATGGAACAAAATGAGACTTATCTTGCATACTGCATAACAGAAACATGGTTGAGTGAAGAAAAAATGTCTCTTATCAATTTAAACAATTATCATATCGTATCTGCTTACTGTAGAAAGAAACGCTGCGGGGGCGGAGTGTGCATTATACTCAAGGACGGCATCGAATACATAGAGAGGACAGACATTATGGACATGACTATTGAATTTCTAGTCGAATTATGCGCTATAGAACTATATAAACAAAATATGATACTAATAACACTGTATTGGAACGGCAAACAGGTCGACTCTTTTTTTAATCAACTAGACATTATAATGATACACCTAAAAACCAAATACGCTAATAAGAAAGTTATTATAGGAGGTGATTTTAATATTGACATATTAAAACATAACTTGGAATCAAAAAGACTTGTACAACTAATGACAGAGAACAACTTTAGTTTAAAAATTAGGGATCCAACTCGAACTACACAAATATCCTCAACATGTATAGACCTAATATTCACTAACTTTGATGACAAACTCATGAAAGCACTGGTTGTTGACAACGGATTCTCTGACCACAAAAGTACCATATTACAGCTTCCCTATGACCAAAATAACAATCACAATCCCATTATTTGGCAAACAAAGAAAAGACTTTTTAATAACACCAACATACAGACTTTCAAAAAGGTCCTACAATCAATTGACTGGAATACAATAATAATTTCTGACAAAAACATTAATCAAAATTATGACTCTTTCGATGACACTTTAATATTACTTCTAGACAAATATATACCAAAAAAGCTAACAAAAATTTACACAAAAAGAAAAAAACAATGGCTCACTAAAGGTATAAAAATATCATGTAAAAATAAAAGACTCCTAAGTATACACACAAATCATTCAAAAAGTATAGTTTTAAAAAACCATTATAAACACTATCAAAAATCATTAAAAAAGTGTATCATTGCATCAAAAAAATTAGAGTATATAAAGCGCGTAAAAAAATCTAATAATCGAGTAAAAACAATGTGGACCATAATCAAAGAAAGAACAAACAAACTATCTAAACCCAGTTACCAAAATATAACATTGAATGTCAATAATAAACGAGTTTCCGAACCGAAACAGGTAGCTAACACATTCAATGAATACTTTGCAACAGTGGGGGAACCGAGTGCGTGCGCACTGCCTCCTCAGGGCCGGCCCGCGGCTACATTCATTGAAAAATCAATATACCTGCGCCCGATCGATCACAAGGAAATAAATGCAATATTACGAAATCTACCTAATAAGCACAGTCACGGATTAGATGAAATACCGCCCATTTTGTTCAAGGAATGTGCGGACGAACTTACGGTACCTTTCTATGTACTAGTAAACCAATCCTTTGTGGAAGGAGTCTATCCAGATCGTCTTAAAAAAGCTGTAATAAAACCGCTACATAAAAAAGGTACAAAATTAGCAGCTACCAACTATAGACCAATTGCACTATTACCAACTTCCTCAAAAGTATTCGAGAAGGCAATGTACAACCGTATCTACCCTTTTTGTGAGAAATTTAAAATATTCGACGAAAACCAAAACGGCTTCAGGAAGAATCGCTCGACAATGCTAGCAATTTTTAAATATATACAGGAAGCACTTAATATATTAAATAATAAAAAATATGGGATAGGTATTTTGTTGGACATGACAAAAGCATACGATAAAATACAATATCACATTTTATTGAACAAATTACATGCGGTAGGTATAAGGGGTATTGCGTATGAGTGGTTTAAATCATATCTACAAAACAGGCAACATATAGTAGAAACAAAATATTTTGATCATAAAACCGGACAAATTTCTAATATTTCATCTGACACTAGAATAATTAATCATTCAATTCCACAAGGCTCCGTACTCGGATGTATTCTATTTTTAATTTATATAAATGACCTGCCGAAATCAATAAACCAGACGTGCGTACTTTTCGCAGATGACATATCACTCATCACTCCTTACTCAGATAGCGATGATTTAGATTTAAATACAACTTTAAAAGTAGCACTAGATGATGTCGTAAATTGGCTAAATGACCATAATTTAGAAATAAATTTTTCAAAAACAAAAATAATACAGTTCAGACCGTACCAAAAAGCACCATTGACTATCGACTTCACCTACAAAGACATCAATATAGAAAGTGTCAATAATTTTACGTTGTTAGGGATAGACATAGATACAAATATAAATTGGAAGGCCCATGTAGAAAAGATAGCACTGAAATTATCTAGATTTACATACGCACTCTGGGAACTTAAAAAATCCACAAATGAAAAAACCGCCATAACAGCATATTACGCTTATGCTTATGCATGGCTAAGCTATGGAGTAATTGTATGGGGGAACAGTTCACAAGTAGATTCATTATTAATTTTACAGAAAAAATGTATAAGAATTATAAAACATTTAAAGAATACCGATAGCTGTAAACCGTATTTTAAGAGCTTAGAAATTCTAACTCTGCCATCTATATATATCCTGGAAACCGCCAGATTTGTCAGAAGATATCCAAGTTTTTACACAAGGGAGGGAGATCAACAACGTCGCTTCCCCACAAGATACCCTAATAGACTGATCTTGCCAAAATCCAAAATGGAAATGTATGGATCCGGCCCCCTAGCTATGTCAATTAAAATATTTAACAAAATACCGGAAAATATCAAAATAGAACGAAACACAGCATCCTTTATAAAAAAACTAAAACATTTGCTAATACAAAAAACCTATTATACAATTTATGAATTTTTGTATGATCAAAATTTGAATGATTTTTCAATGACTACTTAAACAAAAACTACAATTTGACATGGCATGACATAATATTTTAATAACGACTGACTTCCATTATCAACTCCTTATTAACAAATCATTAATTGTTCTTTAGCACGTTTTTGACATAATAATAATTTAAGACATGCGTTAAGATTATTCACTTTTTATATTTTCATTGTTTTATCAAATTAATGAATGAATTATGAATTGCATTATATAACAAATTAAGTTTACTATATTTGTACCATTTATGATTTTAATTATTGAGATTTGGATTTTTATATTGTATTTAGCGTATAGGAATAGAATTATTGAATGACACAGCATGCAGTGTAATTAAGGTAAAATCATTAGTGCCCTTACAGGGTTCATGTGTTGTAATATTTTAATTGTTAACACCTCAGTGAAACCACATGCAATGATTAAATGAATTATGAATTATGAATTATGAACTTTAACGTCCCCCGAGAAAAGCATATAAATATCCCGAAAAGTGTTTGGAATTTTCAATAATTCGGTACTGTTATACCTGTTTTTTAAGCCTAGTGAGTTATCTTCCTAGTTTAATGGATGCATTTCGTTTGTATTGTATTAACAACCGTTAAAAAACAACTAAGTGCTTCCTGACTTTTCAGCTAACCGTACCATTTCCTGATCGTCTTGAATCTTCCTGCGACACCTGGGGTACTGAGGTACGTTGTAGTCCTGATATCAGTAGCTACCTATAAAAGTATGTAAGTTGTAATAACACGAAGTTAATTAACGCGTAACACTGACAAGTGTGACAGGTATGCAGATAAGAATATAGGATTATATGAGTAGGATGTTATCTAGATAAGCGTTTGGCAACACGCCGAGAAACGCGCACCTCAGAGGCGTTGCGGCGGCATCTCAGCAGTGGCGGTCGGCCCGGGTCTCTAGTGAAAGCCTTCACTTTCATCGGAGTGGGGCGGTCGCTGCCACTGCCACAACAAAAGTGAACGTTGTCGAGAGCGCATAACACGCAGTGAGTCGACTAGTCGCTGGCGTGACATTAGGTCGTGTGAAGCGCGTACCGCGATCTCGTGATGTCCAGGTGGTGGATGTTGATGGTGCTCGCGACCAGCGTGGCCGGTGCAGCGGCGGCGGGCGCCCGCCTGCCCCGCACCTCACCGCCCTCCCCCCATTCGACATCTTCAGCCGCGCCCCGCCTCCCTCAGAGGAACCTCACCCTGGCTGCAAGGTCTTCAGTTAGAAACAGGTCAGTACTTATTTAATTCTCTACCTAAATCTATACTTTAAAGTGTCTGTCGTTACCAATTTAAATAACCAAAATTAAATCTGTTGCAACGGTTCGGGTTACTCAAATACCAACATAAATTATAGCCAAATTATAATAGGAATAGTCTTTAATTGGCGGCTTTCCGCAGGAGCTTTACATGCCCTTGTACATAGAGAATTTGGGGGGAGGCGTAATCATACCGTTAAGAGTATTAATTTAAATGATGCAAGCACACATAAGAGCTGCCATCATATGTGATCGCAAGAAAATGTAGCGACTGTTGTGCGGTCCCCATAGTGCCCATAAAAAGGTAGCTTCTTTTTGAATTGTAATGGGTCAGTACAGAGCTGCAAAGAAAATTTAGTTTTATTCGCAGAGATATACGATTTCTTTAAGTTTCTCTCATAAAATTCACTTCATTTGACTATTCCTATCAGACCAATACAGTGAAGAATAGACAGCGAAAAGCTGCACCTGCATTTGGCATACAGAGCCAGTCACACCACGCCCCGCCCTTTGGTTTTAATGAATTAAGTTTATGTACACAAAGAAAACTGTTTATGTTTAGTAACTTAGTATTTTAAGTAAGTAATTTAGTGGTACCGAATATTTAGTAAAACGTATTACTTTTAATATCGATAAAAATCTTTGGCATTGCTTTTAAAAGAATATTCCTAAACGCAGTACAATGTCATGTTTGTTGTTATAATCACTAACGTGTTAACGAAGTTCTGAGCACTGCCATATTTGTTAGCACAAGAAGCTGTAATATGTGCATACCGCAACAAAGGGGCAATTTGCTAAATCGAACCTCTGCGCAATCGAGAGCTGGTACACTTCCGTGGGCGGTAGGTGCAGTGGATTGAACAATGCACGTTCACCACTGCCTGACTCTTAACGTAGGTACCTACATTTCTCGTTATAACTTGCCCGAGTTTTGCTCAACACATATCTATCGATCATTTACGCCTTTGTAGGCCACACCTAAAGATATACAATATATCAAAGTACTTTGTAAAAAATTTAACTTCACACCTTTTACACAGCGGTCATATTTAGTTTAGTAGTTAGTAATGTCAGTTTAAAAACTGACATTTTGTACTTATTATACTATTGGCAATGATAAATATATATTATACTAACTGACAAGAATAACACTCATTATTCTAGTTACTTTAGGTTTATAGTCATAATATATAAATAATGCCTATGAAGACTGATTCCGTAGGATAGTAAGGGATTTTGGGACACGTATGACCTACAGCTCAAACCTAATGTCCTCGTAGGTACTTTAAAAGATTGTCATTTACCTCGTCAGTCACGCTCGCAATGTAATTGAGATGCTCGACTGTTCATCTGTGGTTCTTAGTCCCCTAGCCACTTTCTATAGTTATGCATATCATAATCAGTATCGATCTGTATCAGCATTACATACATATTTAGAACACTGTATCGACTTTTTAACTAAAATATGCGTGGATTTTATTTATCTCTAATCTCTATCAAACTCATTACAATCTGTAGATACGTCCTCAAAGTTGTCGAATAGGTACCAATAAGTGGCAAAAAAGAAACCTAAATGGTATTTTATCGGAGGCGAAGGTTATCTTTTCTTTTTGAAGGGCGCTCTAAGCAAATGAAGATTAATCTTTTTTTTATGTTTGACTAATCAAACTTAGACTACACTCAGTAGACACAATCTAATAGCTAATATTGAAAGCAGTGCGCGTGAGCTATGTCTAATTAAGTTATGTAGTTTTTAAATCATGTAAGTTTAATTTTGGTATGATTATGATTATGATTTTTTTTGTGTACGGGGTCCATCGTCATACTATTATTTCCAAACAATAGAACCTTTCGAACCTAGAACAAACTAGTGGAGTAATTTCGCAAAAATTATTGAATATCATGGTCGTAAAAACATTAGAAAGATATTTAATAAACTTAATATTACAATAGAACCTTTACAATTACATACATATATCATCATGGTTGTCTCTCACCGGGTAGGCAGAGACCATGGATCGCCACCTGCTACGCTCCTGACAAACCTCCTCTGCCTCCTCCACTCCCATTAGTGTCTTTATTCTTGGTACCGTTAATCCGATCTTTTTAAGGACATCCCCAATCGAGATAATATTTACCCCGAGATCAACCTTTCCCCGCGATTGCAACCCTATTTGCTCTATAATTTGTGCCGTCAGTCTATGAATCGAAGCATCCTCCTCTCTATCCTTGTCACTACATCATCTTTTATAGGTACCACAACGTTTTCTTACTACACCGCTCAGCATTTCGTCTTTAAGGCAACCCCGGAAAAATAAAAGTATATGCTATAAATAAAATTACAATCTTGATAACAATAAGTTTCTATATAAAAACGAAGTATCTCAAAGTTTTACATAATTCTTATGTATTAGAATTAATGTCAAACTACGAAATGCTTACAATGCCAGGATTTTTAAAATTTTTATTCTTGTTTTTGCTTTTAAATGTTTTTTCAATAATGATAACGCAGTGTTCGTTCCTCATTGGGTAAAATATAGAAGAGATCTAAGAAATCACTTAATTGATAAAAATAAAATAATAAGAATTTTAATATTAACTATTCTTGAAATATACTTCATTTCTAGCTAGCTAGTTATATGTTATGCCGCTGTTCTGTCACCATTGTCTGGATCTTCCGTTTTGAAAATGTACGTATTGTACAGGTAATAAACGTTTAATATAATATTTATAATTTCTTTAATTGTCCTCTTCCATACGTTCGTATTATGGTCTATTGCATAATCTCCTAATATATAAATATAGTTCTTAATTACAATTTCTGAACAAATGCTCTACTGACATACATGAAATATACAGCAAAAAATTTGGTTAAACTATACTCGAAAATTGATGAATACGTTTATTTAAGTTTTACAAAATTTCTAAGTCGGCTGTCGGCGGTCTCCTCCTCCGATGGCGAAGCATAGATTGATACAGTGTAATATTAAAAATATTGGAATAAATGTGCGATTTTATGTGAAAATAACTTCTTTAATATGTGAAAAATTTATTTTCACATCGATTTATCTGACCAATTCTAAACTGATTTGTGTTATATTAAATTAAAACAAATATCGCATAAATCAATCGCCTAGCTGTACCTACTTTAATATGTAAGTATATTGTAAGATTGTTGTGAGCACGTGCAAAAACACCGCACATACTATAATAATCCCATTCACTTCCTCTATTTGTTTTGATGCCAGCACAAACACGAAGTCAAAATAATCATATTAATCGCTATTTCGAGCAAACTTACCTACAACACTTGTATATTTATTATTGTAATTATTCGGTGATAAAAATTTAACCGCTTGTATAAGTTATAATGAATTGGTTTATTGATTTTATCACACTACCTTTTATATCACTATGGTAGTAATTATTATTAGAATATATATAATTACTAGGAATAACTGAGATTGCACATAAGTATAATTATCGTATATTCGCGTAGTGATGTAAACTATTAGTAGAGTAGACAAACTTTACAAATTGCTAGAGTCGTTCATGATGAAATCACAATTTATGTGCAATTTTCAACGAATTGCTTTTATTAGTTCATGAATATTAATTATCTTTTTAAATGAAACAAAATATTAATTCTTGACGTGCATAATATTATATGTACGTGAATTATATACTAATTTAATGCATTTTGTGCAGTTGTCTGTTACACCGAATGATGGTCATATCATTTGTGATGTAATGATTACATGTTAGTGTGGGTAAATATCTGTTCGGATACATTTTTTATCTAAATATGTACTTGAGCATTTTTTCTAAACACAGCGCACACAGGTGGACTGCGCTCAAAACGAGATCAAGGTCATGCAGTGGTATTGTTGCTGCTTGCTGCTCTAGCGCTAATTACGGGTGTTAATATTGCCACCGCACCCTGCAAATGCGAAATTTGGATCGACCTCAGTACATATACATTCATCTTTTAATATTGCAAAGATTTTATACTAAGTCTGCATAAGGTTCAACGAAGGGACAGTCAATCGACCAAGGACACTGACTGCCAGAGCGAATGCATAACACTGCTTGAACTTTACATGCGGTTGATCTAACAAGATTAACAAACCGATTCAAGTGTTTATGGCCTTTTTTCAACACTAGAGTGCATATCCCTTACTCATCGCGGACCGGCGGCGTGTTTTTTCACTACGCCGCCGCTCCACCTAAATGTCAATGTCGAATACTACAGGAAGAAGTGTCTTGAGCGTGCGACGAAGTCGACGACGGATCTAGTTACGCGCATGTATATATAACAAGGCCGTCGTCCAAGCGCGACAACCATATAATTGATTGTATCTACTTCTAGATACAAGTTTGCTTATGATACCCAGTACTTACAATAATTTTTTCATTCACTTCGTCGGCAAAGTTGATTTTAAAATTCGGCGTTAATTTTCAATGGCGGAATTTAAGTTGAGCTATCTAAGCTAGCAATCTAATGCCGGTTAGGATTTGTTTCCATTTCAACCGTATCTTTTCATTAATTACATTCGTACATAACATGCTTCGTGTCGCAACAAACTAATAAGTAAATAATAGCAAGAAATATGTTAGTGACCGAGTGCCATACACTGAAAAGCATATCTATCTAGAACGATTATAGATCCAATGCAAAACAATTTACGCGATTACAATGTAATCATATTTTCGAAAAAAATAACACAATTTAGGTGGGTACTAATTGGAAATTGCGTAAGTTGATAACAAAATCAAAATGTCAAGAGTTCAAAATTTAAAATGTACCTATTATAGGTAATCTAAGTAGTAAGGAATCGATGACGTTGATGTCTTTTCGTAATAAAAGTTTAGTTTAGTTTGGTAACGTGAATAGGATGTCGTTGATGTCTTTTGTGTGAAGATGAAGATTCAGCCGTCATTTAATGTTTTAAATAAATTTTTATTTATCTCAT